TTGTCATGAAAAATGTCCATGATATGCCATTGGGTGAAAAAGCGATTACAAAACAGAAAATATCATACATAGGGATGCCATTTTAGTTAATAAATCATATATAACTAACATTTATTGAGCTTTCAATATGATCATATATATGAGCAAGGTACCAAGAAAAGTGCTTTACATGAATTATTTTAACTTCATGACAACCCGGTGATGTGGGTATTATAATTATCATTTTATGTATGAGGAAACTGAAGCACTTAGAGGTTGTCATTTGCTATAGTTCACTTTCTTGGTGGAGTTGAGATAAAGACCCAGATAGCTATGTTGAACTCAAGAGCCCAAACTCTTAACTCTTTACACCTATATTTGTATAGAAAAAAAAAAATCAAGAAAGATAGATACCAGGATGCTAACAGCTAACAGTGGTTATTTCTGGATGGTGAGATTATGAGTGACTTTTGTTTCCTTTATACTTTCCTGAATACTCTGAAAATTCTATGATTTACGTGGATTATTTTCCTAATCAAGAAAAACAATATGTAAATTCCCATTTTGAAAAAAGAAAAGCCATTGTTTCCAACCTGCAGGCAGCAAATCTCCAGGGAGTGGAGGAGTAGCTCAATTATTACAAGGATTCTAGAAATTCCTACCTTGCTTAAGTGTTGTCTAGAGTGAATAAATAGTATGCTTGCAGCATGTTTGTTTGTTTTTCTTTCAAATGCAAGTAAATGTTGCCATAATGTACACACATAGTGGCTTTAGTTTGTTATACATGTCTCAATCAATTGATAGAAATACAACGATTGGGCCAGGCATGGTGGCTCACACCCGTAATCCCAGCACTTTAGGAGGCCAAGGCGGGAGGATTGCTTGAGCCCAGGCGTTTGAGACCAGCGTAGGCAACATAGTGAGACTTCATCTCTACAAAGAATTTTTTTTTAAAAGTTGTTGTGGTTGTGCCTGCCTGTAGTCATAGCTACTTGGGAGGCTGAGGTAGAAAGATCACCTGAGCTCAGGAGGTTGAGGCTGCTATGAGTCGTGTTCATGGCATTGCACTCCAACCTGGGTGACAGAGTGAGACCCTGACTCAAAAATTAAAAATTAAAAACATTAAAAATACAACTATTATCATGTGGAGGTCCATAGCATTTTATAAATATTAAAATACTAAGACAATGGTTGAGATCTGGTGCTAAAAAGAAAAATATATATACAAATCAATTATCTGTAGTTTGAGTGTCTTCTCAACAACTAACTTCCTTTTATTCAGGTGAGGCAGGGGGAAATAGAGGAGGAAAACTGAAAATTCACACATTATTAAAAGTTAACCCAGGAAGCTTGCTTCCTGGAGAAGACAATTTACAAGGACGAGAGAGTGTGGAAAGGGAGTTGATGTAAGCCCAGGACATTCTATTCTGGAAAGACAGAGTGATAATCTTCCCTGTATTGTCAGGGGCAAGTTCCCACCCTCAACCACAGGGATGTCAACACATGAGCAGGGCAATGGTGCTGTAAGACCTGAGCACTAACATTTGCTCTAGGGCCAGGCTGGTTTCAGCTGGGAGACATGGAGTAGGAGGGCCCTCCAGGGGTATGGGAGGCAAAGCAGACAGAACTTTCTCTTTTGCCAAACTGTCTCGAAGGTCTGCACCAGCCTTTCTTTCCTCATTCTTTCTTCTTCCCTTTGTAATGTGTCCTTGGTCTTCTGTTTCTGTACAGCCCCTAGTTCCCCACTCAAGTCCCCAGGACATACGCCTCCATAGCACTCCAGTAATCTCACTGTAAGAAACCATTTGATCACAGACCTCAAAGACACTAATTTACTGCCGTTTACTCAACACTGAGGGTCCAAGACTTTCTAGGTATTAGGAGGAGATATATTGACAAATAACATATGTTCCCAACCCCCTTTAAAAGCTTGTAATCTTCAGGTGGAAAAAGTGAATACACACACACACACACACACACACACACACACAATCCAATTTGCTTTAATGGGCATAAACTTGCAACTAAGTAAGAGACTGTCTTACTACAAAGAGTCTTCAGTACGTCACTGGCCTCGGGAAAGGAGGAAGGTAAGTAGGGAGATTGTGACTGGACACGGTGGCTCAGCCTGTAATCCCAGCACTTTGGGAGGCCAAGGCGAAAGGATTGCCTGAGCTCAGGGATTCAAGACCAGCCTGGGCAACTTGGTGAGATCTCGTCTCTACAGTAAATCAATAAACCAAAAAATAAGCTGGGTGTGGTAGCACATACCTGTAGTTCCAGCTACCTGGAAGGCTGAGGCAGAAAGATCGCCTGAGCCCAGCAGGTCGAGGCTGCAGTGACTGTGAGTGTGCCACTGCCCAGCAGCCTGGGTGACAGAATGAGACTCCAACTCAAAAATAAATTAAAAAATAAAAAAGAAAGGAGATTGTTCTATATTAAAAGCAACTTAAGATCTTGCCAATGGGATTAAACTTGAATCTAATACAGTCTTTAAATCCAGCTGCCAATCTGTGGGAAACACAGAGGAGCGTGCTGAAGCACACTGTATGAGAAAGTCTCCAGACCAAATGCCATGGGTTCTTCAACAGCTAAATCATAAGGAAAGGAAAGGGATGGAGGAATCTGTAGATTAAAACAGACAAACTCTTCAAAAGTGCCATGAAAGACAAAGAAAGACTGAGAAACTGTCACAGATTGGAGGAGACAGGATGATCAAATGCAGTGAGGGGCCAGTGGGGTCAGATACTGTGGCTCATGCCTGTAATCCCAGCACTTTGGGAGGTCGAGGTGGGAGGACTGCTTAAGCCCAGGAGTTTGAGACCAGCCTGGGCAACCATAGCAAGACCTCATTTCTACCAAAAATCCAAAAATTAGCTGGTTTTGGTGGTGCACACCTGAAGTCCTAGCTACTCCAGAGGCTGAGGTGGGAGAATCACTTGAACCTAGGAGGTTGAGGCTGCTGTGAGCCGTGACCATGCCACCGCACTCCAGCCTGAGCAACAGAGTGAGACCCCAACTAAAAAAAAATGCGATATAGGATCCCAATGGGATCCTGGAACAGAAAATAGACATTAGTGGAAAACTGTTGGAATCCAAATAAAGTTTGGAGTCTAGTTAATAGAAATACACCTATAAGGGGAAGCTAGGTGAAGAAATAGGGAACACTCTGTTCTATCCTTGCAACTCTCTTATAAATCTACAATTATTCCAAACTAAAATGTGGGCTCAATGTGATGGCTCATGCCTATAACCCCAGCACTTTGAAAGGCTACGGCCGGAGGACAGTCGGAGACCAGGAGTTTGAAAGCAGCCTCGGTGACATAATGAGACTCTGTCTCTACAAAAATTAGCTAAGCATGGTGGTGCATGCCTGCAATCCCAACTACTTGGGAGGCTGAGGCAGGAGGGTTCCTTGAGCTCAGGAATTTGAGGTTGCAGTAAGCCACAATTGCACCACTGCACTACAGCCTGGGCAACAGAGTGAGACTCCAAATAAATAAATAAACAAATAAATAAATAGACAAGACTAAACCATAGTCATTAGGGGAAGTATATATGGGTAAGACAACCACAGAAATGCAAGGAAAAGATGACTAAATGTCAGGATAATTATTACTTTGGAAGGAGGAAGAGTGTTGTAATTGGAATGGGGCATTACACGTAGTGGTTGCTACAAGGTGTTTGTCCTATAATAATTCATTAAGCCATACATTTGTTTTAAGTGGATTTCCATATCTGGGTTCTATTTTATGAGAGGGAGACTTAAGAGACCAATCTTTTCTTTTTTTTTTTTTGAGTTGGAGTCTCACTCTGTCGCCCAGACTGGAGTGCAGTGGCCGCTCCCGGCCACCGCAGCCTTGACCTGCTGGGCTCCAGCGATCCTTCCGCCTCAGCCTTCCGAGTAGCCTGAATTACAGGCTCGCGCTACCACGCCCGGCTGATTTTTTGATTTATTGTAGAGATGAGGTCTCGCTGCCCAGGCAGGTCTCGAACCCGCGGGCTCAGGCAATCCACTCACCTCAGCCTCCCAAAGGCGTGGGATTACAGGCTGAGCCACCGAGCCTGGCTCAGTCTTTTCTATAGAGTTATCTCCTATGGATTTTTCTGAGCAAAACTTTGCCTTCTTGGAGTATTAGCATTAGTATCAACCAGATATCATAAAACAATTTTATATTAGCCAAAAAATAAATGCAGGGACAATTAAGATTCTGGATTCTGATTCAAATTGACCAACTATAAAAAGACATTTGAATATAGACTGGGTATCAGATATTGGTATAGAATTATTACATTTGCTAAGGGTGATAGTGGTGTTATTATGGAGGAAAGCATCTAATTTTTTGGAGATGCATAGTCATGTATTTAGGGGTGAAATTACATGCTATCTCAGAATTGCTTTGAAATACTCCAAGAAAAAAAAAAGAGTGGGGAGATAAATCAAGCAAGTATGGAAAAATGTTAATAGTTGTTGAAGACGAGCATGAAGATAAAAATTTGTTGCATTCTCTAGTTTTGTGTTTGGAAATTTTTATAACAAAAAATTAAAGGCAGGGCAGCCCCAAACCAGGCTGCTTCAGGGCAACAGAGACCTAATCCCAGGTGCTCTCCACCCTACAAATTCCCAGGGCTTCCTTCCTACCAGTCATTTCCCTAAGGTTACAAGCCCTATGGTCTCTGAGTAGCCTGTGAGGTTGTTTCTTTTTCTCTGTGTCACTGTGTCACTTGAACCAGATAGTAGTCGTTCTTACCTTTCTCCATCCTGATGTCCTAATAATCCTAGGAAAGCGAGTCAAAGGGCAATGGGTTGGACCAGACCTGATGGGACAGTCCTTGCTGCACTCCAGAGCCTGCCCCCTACAGTGGGCGGGGGTAGGGGTAGGACAATGAGGGAGGAGGGCAGATATGCAAACTCCTCATAGTCATGTGCATTCACCACTGAGTGAGCTTTCAGAGGCTGGTGGCACCATTGTTTGGAACATTGTTCTGGGGCCTTTGCCTTCTCCGGGCTCCTGGGCATCATGCCTCATTCCAAGCAGCCTGATCGCTTCCAGAGTCTGATGCTTCTGCAGTGGCCTTTGAGTTACCTTGCCATCTGTGAGTACCAACCCAGGAGTGCACAGCAAGAAGCCAGAGACAGAGGCCAGGGTCAGATCTGGGGTGACATTTATGGTCATCTTGATCTTTTAATCATATGAAATGGTACTAGAGAGTAAAACCAAGGAGCCTCAAGTTCCATGAGTGCCCTGGAGAAGGAAGAGATAGAGCTTGTGGGAACAGTGAGAACAGGAAAAGGGATGGAACAGGGTCATGATGAATATGAGTAGATCTAACTACTTTTAGCCACTTCCTAATCCTTACTATCTGGAGAGGGAAATGAGGCCCAGGGAGTGCTTCCTTATTATCATGGGGAGTGGGACAGAGGAAGCATTAGCATTCCAGACTTAGAGAAACATAGCCTGTGTTTGAACCATAGGATTATCTATTCTGGGAAGGGAGTGGTGGTAGCATGCAGGGAGACAGAGGCAGTGGAAGGAGTGGAGAAAGAGCATGAGGACAAGAATTGTGGATAGGAAACTGTAGCAGGATGCAGAAGCTGGATGGGCAGGGTTAGGAAGATATAGACAATATAGGGGCAAGGGAAGATGGGCTAGTGGCTTAACCAGGGTCCAGGGATGATGGCTAGGAAGGGAGACATGAGACAAGAGGGAAAGGATGGTGGCCAAATAGGGGCAGGAGGGAAAAAGACTGGTGGCATGCAGAGAGTAGGAGTAGGAAGATGGTGCCTGGACAGGGATGCAGGTAGACAGGGATGACAGGTAGCCAGAGAGACAGGGATTGTGTATGGTAGATAACAGGAAAGTTGTTTTTGTTTATTTTTGAGTTGGAGTCTCACTCTGTCGCCCAGACTGGAGTGCAGTGGCCGCT